CCAACTTACTATCACTTCAGTTAAAAAACCAACACCTAATATTATATTACGTGTTACCAAATTATCTACATTCCTTCCTACAGGACATCGTACATTATGCTAATGATTATGATATTTCATATCTCTAATGTCATAAATTCTTTTATTAAAAAAAATATCGTTATTAAATGTGAATATTCCGTTCTGTGTAAATAAGCTTTTAAAACAGCTGTTGCTGTTTCTTTTGCTTGACAACATGCTTTGGTAGCTATTTATAAGAAATTAATAAACTTTCTTAGTACCTAAATAAAGACCTATTTACATACAACGTATAAAAATGATAATTATTAAAAAAAATTACCGCTTTGCTAGTCTAGCGGTTTTGTACACAGACAGCATTGTCGCGGCTTCGATTCCTTGCACAGTACAAATATTTGTATTCATGAATACGAGATTGTTTGTTATATAGTTTAGTCTGGGTATTTTCTATGTATAATAAGAGTGTATTTACAAAATAATGTGTTGAGTATTTGTATCTGCTGTTTAGTACTCATAAAGTAAGCTCTGCTTATCGTAGGTTTAAATTGCACTTTGTGAATTATACTGGTTTATTTTTTTAATAAATGACTGCTATGAATACCTGATAGCACTTTATTTATGTAATTACTTTTTCATTTCAAGACTGTTTAAAAAAATTTACTACCTTTTGTAAGATAAACGTAATAAAACTTGTTTGCGATCAAGATCGGAGGAAAAATGTTTTACTGGAAGTTATAACTTTAATTATAGTCAGAAGGGCAATATAAAACTTAAATGTATCCTTCTACAGCGGCATAAAAAGTTAAATAAGCAATTTGTATTACAAAATAAATTCAGATTGCTACGAGAAAAGAACCGCTGAGGCTTATCAAGAATTTTCATTTTGTCTTAGTCAACAGCGTGATTCAATTAGTGAGATAGGCGCAAAAGGGCTAAATTAGTTTATGTCACTGTTTACGTACAATTTAGATGAAAGTCCCAGACTTCGAATGTTCTGCCAAAGCCGTACAATTACGTCTTGGGTATTTTAGCATTAGGTACTCCGCAATTGTAAAACGAATAAACCACTGCAAGTGTTGTTTCTTCTTAACACTCAGTAAACTGTAGGAGACAAACAATTTTTTACATTTTCTCTTTTTAATTTTCTTTCTGTATTACTTGACAATATTTTTGAGAATTTTGACAAATGTTAATTAGAATATCCCATTTATATTATGTATCTCATTTATTACAATATAATCTTACACTACTTTTTACAAAAACATTCCATAATTTAATGCTATTTTACAACCTGCCACACACACTAATATTCTTGTTTTTATTTGCCCTTAGAATTTGATAAAATAAAAGTATTTAAAACTTCATAGACTACGTTTGAAACTAATAAGAAGGTAACTTTATAGAGAATGAAAACTATTTTCTAGAAAGTTTTTCTTTTTAAATTTATTGTTTCAAATTTCGAATAAAGATTTTTTTGTTTTTTCTATTTAAAATAACGATATACATGAGTTAATAATTAATTGGAATTTGTCGAACAGTTTATGGCTCTATTCCAAAATACTAAAAGACATGTTTGGCACTCTGAATTGCACTCTAAAGCCAAAATAACGTTTAGTATCTGCTTATACGTACATACTAATACACCATATGCCTTATTAATTCAGTATTAACTATAAAGCAATTTTTAATAAAATAATTAATGTGACAATATAGCATATAAATTTTATTTTTTTCGCTGGGTGAATAATTTGTGTCCCTTTATTGATACTATATGTTAAAGTATTAGTTCCTCCATTTATTTTTTTTAGTTTTTTTGTGACACATTTACTTAGAATTCTATTCTATTTAAATTTGTGGTTCAAAAATAGTTCAAATTCAGTGTGAAGTACTTAAGTCATGTATGTATATAATAAACATATGTATATATTTTATATTTGTCTGATAGAAATAAAACATGTACTGACTTATGAGCGACGTTTAACTACTACTATATTGTAAATATATGCTACCAAATCGGTTAAGCTACATATTTCTGGGAATAGCAAGCACAAAGGTACAGAAAATGAGACAAAATTCTAACTATCATTGCATTGTGTTTTAATATTTAATAGTCCCACAATAATACATGTTCTTATATATTTCATTCCACGTAAAGGTTATGTACATTTTTTATTACATATATTATAATATACAAATATAATGCTAAATCTAAATAACTTTATTACAAAGTAACTCAATAAACAAGACAATTCCCTAGATGACGTTGGTAGAGAAATGAATTCATTCTAGTTTAATACTTATAAAATGTGTAGTTAATTCAAAAGTGGGCTTACTTAAGAGTCCTCAAGTGGAGTTAATCGAAAAATTAAACTCGGTAAAGTTGATTGAATATTAGATGCTTTCTTTTTCTTTTGTATTACTTAATTGTTTTTAATGCGTTTCGTCTTAAGTGAGTATAGGTTGGTAATTAACACTTTGTTGTTTTGAAGTTTCTTAAGTCTTTGCTGTTATCTTGATTTGTTCTTGTTTGTTTTCGTAGTATATTTCTAAATAGCTGAGATTCGGTTGAATGATGATATGTGGTAATAAAATTACAGGGTATACCAGTACTCTGCAGTATGAGTGTCACATAATGACATGATTTACGTGATCATGTATATAGGCTACGCTTACTACTTACAATCTGGTAAGTCGTCCGATGGTTTTACGATTCTAGTTGTATAAAAAAGATATCTAACTATTTCTAGCCTTTTATGACAGACATAAGGGGACTCCATGGTATCAAAATGAGAAATCGAACTGCCAATTACGGACCATATATTACAGACTGTGTTGCGTGCCTCGCTTATTTATAGGAAATTTGGTTGCTTTCAAACATTGTCTTTATGAACTCAACAAATGATCATACTTTACAATACTATATATGTTATATCTACTAGTATAGCTACTACATACATATTAATGCCATCCTATAATAACTATGGTTAGTCTATGACATTATAAATGCAAAAGTATCTATCGGTCTATCCATTTGTTACAATAGTTTTTGAGCACTATTCGGCTGAACAGATCTTAATAGATTTATCATGATAACGAACATTGATTATCTTTTATCTCATAAAAACATACGCTGGGCACAGCTAGTACTAAAGTTCATACTAATATTATAAATGTTAAAATATGTCCCTGTTTATTCCTATTTCACGGCTGAAAATATCGTAATGAACTTTGACATAAAATATTGTTTTTATCATAAACACAAATATCTCATAGAAGCAGACGAACGTATGGGTAACGTGTCTCTTTAATGTACATGTAAATAGAATAATACGAAACTTTTTAGCGAAGAGCGTAACTAACCGCCATTTTAATTTAGGCATTCTTGTAATTATTGATACGAATATACGAAGAAACAAATATGCTGTTTTTAATCAACATATACAGATAAAGTCGCAAGTAAAAACTAGTATAACATTTAAATAGTTTATAACACAATAACTAAAGTTTCTCTAGACAATGACGTAACATTTGTAACTTTAGGGATCGAGGGATTCGGGTGTTTAATGAAACTCATTGCAATAATACACTTCATTATCCTAAGTTTCCACTGCCACTTTAATGTCTTCGTTGTTTAAAACCTAAAGAAACATGAAGCCTTCTCTCTTGTAATGGGAAACAAGCTGATAGCCCAATGGTTAAGGTTAAGATATAACCCTCGCCTATATAAACAACATATAATCATGCGATGCCGGTGATACCACTTATGCGTTCCCATTCCGATAAACTACTATGTCATGCCTCTTCTACTGAAATTGCACTGTCGAGATAAGGCAGTGAAATAACAGTATCCGAAATACATAAGCAAACGCTGAACCCCTGAACAACCACGCCGATGTCTTTTCCAAAGACTACCTGAGTAAAACTTGTATTCGTATATTCGTATATAACGTCTTGTAACTTAAGTTTTATTATTCAAAAACCTGATAAAATCCATCAATCATTAGAAATTAAACTTGAAACGATTAATTAATTTCTATAGAACCGGTGCAATTTGAATTGTTTTCGCCGTTCACTTCATTTTATATTAAATTGTTCCGGCCCAAACTTTCCCTTCGTGAATGATGTAAAGCATTCATTGATTACCAAAGACGCTGTATACTATAACTAAAAGAACTGAAAAGCAAAAAAATGTGTTTATCAAATAATATCATTTAGTAAATAGAATTAACAGAAATTGGTGAAGTCTCAGTCGGACTCGCACGCTAACTATTCCAAATATTTTTAATTTGCTCTTGTTAATTTATTATAAAATATAAATTATATTCAATTATGCTATATCTACTAAAATGGATATTATTACAAACCACGACAATATTAGTCAGACATATCACGCTATGGTTAGGATATAATTCGTATTTGGAGATATATTCATATCCAAATAACTCATTCATATATATCCTATGGTCGTTGTAGTTTAAATTTTATAAACTACAATAAAGTATTGATAGCTAAGAAGTTAAGTAAATGGGTAATAAATAAGATCAATATTGTGTAAATATTGATCTTATTTATTACCCATTTTATATTCCTGGTAAGGTAAAGACCTGTGGGCTACTTCCCAGCAAGGCCAAGTTGAATACATATTTTATGTCAATGCTGAAATTAAATAGGACAGATATCAGATTGATGAGCCGTCGCGGGCACAACGCAGACCATTATGGATCGGCAATAATTGGATTTTGGTCCATTATCCGCGGTTTTGATGCGGATACCGCGCTGTCGGATTTATACAATAATTTCTATTAATAAACATGATTATTTTTAACGATCATATATAAGATTAATTGACAAAGCGCACGAAAATTTTACGCAGTAAAAGTATTTAATTCGAACAACAAATCTGCGTGTAAATTGCAAAATAATATGAACATGTATGTCTTTGAAGTAAAACTGTTGATAAAAGCTAATTAATTCTGTTTCAGAATGGTGAATGAGAATAATGAGCGACAACCGAGAGTATGGAGGCAAATATCACAAAAGCACCGTGCCGTGGCGCAGAAACGCAACTCCATACCTCCATCTAATCAAGTAAACCGTGTGCTCAGAGACTAAATTTGAATAATGAATGGGGACAGCAAGCAAGAAGATTTCAAAGCGCGCGAAATTAGAATGGATCTTCCGAAAACAATGTGCTCCAACAACTGTCAAAACGCCACCAAAATAACGGCGTTCCAGCTAAGACCACCTGATCCTAATGCCACTTTCCTACATCGACCATTTATACATGAAAGAGTCAATGAAAGCGACTCGATAAACCTCAGGATGTCGTGGAACTTTAACGATTCAATCAGTGAGATGTACGGATTCGATATGACTCTAAACGGAACGTTTTCGAACTGTACTTTAGAAAATGGAACTTGTGTTAGTGATGTGCATAATTATAACTTTTGGGCACTTTCTTTGTTAGTGTTCCCCTTATTAACGTTATTCGGAAATGTTTTAGTTATAATGAGTGTGGCTAGGGAGAGAAGTTTGCAGACTGCAACTAATTATTTTATAGTGAGTCTAGCTGTGGCCGATTTGTTAGTGGCTGTGGTAGTCATGCCATTTGGAGTATATTATTTGGTAAGTGGATTTTAACTTTATAAAAATCTAAGCTTCTAATTTTATTTAATTATAATAGCACATTTGATTAAATTAATGCTTTAATGAATTATTATTACACACAGAAATAAAATGTTTAAAATCGTGAACGTGGAAAGAAAATTGTAATATCCAAGCACTTCAGTTATTTTTACAACAAGGAACAAGTACCTACCACAATTTAGTTTCTATTGTAGTAGGTAGGTACTTACTGCTACATACAGTACATACAGTACTTTTAAATTATCGACAAACGTCATTGCCATTTGACTTTTATCGGGGCAACAGTTTACTTCAATATCTCGCAAAAATATACTATATTCTTTATTTATTAATGATTTACTATTAAATAATATATTTGTATACCTATACAACATATCTTGTTTAGTAATAATAATATCTTATAGTGAGATTCGACATTTAAATTCAACACGGTGCCGAACTACTATGTTACGTGTACCATTAGCGGTTAATCCGTTCCAAATGCATTGTTATTCCATATCTGTAACAAACAGCTACCTCGTACAATACCCACACTAAATACACAATAACCAAATAATAACATACACGAATATTCATTTTGTAGACATGAAAGCCTACAGAACTGATATATTCTCAGTTTGTGACAGAATTGTTTTGTTTGTTTTCTTATTACATTAAGAAAAATATTATAGTTTGAGGAAGAGCCATATTAGTCGGTAACTTAATTAATTATGTCATAACAATATAATCTTTATTGTAATATTATAATTAATAATGTACCTAATTACTTTTGATGCTGTTCAGTGAAAATTGAAGTAGTAACTGTAATTATAATCAGCAAATTGAATGTTTCACTCTCCAAGTTGTATATAGCGCTACTTACGCTATATATTTTTGTAATCGTGAGAAGGAAATTACCATATTTTTATAACTATTTACCAAAAATGTAGTTTATATATTTTTAAACAAAACCTAATTTGTACATCGAATCGTACTTGTACAATAAATACTAATGTTTATTCTAATGCCATTCTAAACAGCTACATTTAAAACAATAACATTTTCTTTTTATATATTAAATTTAAAATATATTTATTTTTTATCTAATAAAAGCAGCTTAAATTAATGTCACTATAAAATTTAAATCTCAGTAATTTATTGTTATTATACCGATAATTTTGAAGTACGGTCCCTTTTTAATGAATCTTTAGAATTTAGGTGTTATTATCAAATAGTCTCACCTTCATTAAGAACCTGGATTAGGTAACATACGAGTAAGTTAATTGTAGTAGGTAGTTGTATTAACTGTATATGACGAAATGTTGTAAATTAGTACTTTATGAAAGGTATATAATATCTTCAAAAAGTGAAAAATATTTGTTTATTTATTACCTCATGGCATATTAACGTGTAAATCACTTTTAGTGCTTTACACGTTAATATTTATGTTATGTTTAAAATTAAATACTGATTTTTATTTTAGTCACCCGTCGATATGTCCCTAAAATGTAAATTCAAAAACCAATCTCAAACTTTTGATTTTCTAGAAAGACAGAATAGAATAAATACGAGTCTCACAACTGAGATGTTTTTCAATTTTCCTTTCTGAAAGAACCTAATCTAAAAAGTTACTCTCTAAACATATTTCTAAAAATAGTTATTATGAAACTATCAATAAAAATTGATTCGACTCCTAATCTAATCCGATACAATAATATCCGTTTCGCACTTTTTTGTTGTCTTCAATTCTTTTGTACACTGCTATGTTTATTTCATATTTCGTGGTCAATGACAGAATAAACTGACTTTGTTATTGATTAATTCGGTTTATTCATGATTACGTTTCGTCATCTTTACATTACGAACAGTTTAGTACTAAAACTGATTAGTTGCATTTAAATCAATATTGAGATTAGACTTTGAGTAGAGCTGTCGTTTTATAATATCTCTAAATATTCAAAATATTGTGTATATTTATATAAATAAGAGACGCTTTCTTTTACACCGTCTATAGACTAACCGATATGTATATTATTGTAGCGACATTGTATAATTTACATATACATTTGAACTTTATCAACGTCTCCTCCTCGGTTTAATTGATAGCACCAGTAAATCACCCCAACCATAGCAATTTTCCAAACAATTTAAACTTCTTACAGTTTCCTTGAACAGTATAGTTAGTCACGGTTCCTTGTATGAAATGTGTAACTTAATATTTCAGTCTCATTTCTCAGTCAGTTTATTCTCTTTATTACTTATTATTTTATTAGTTATATCTACAATGAATATGTCAAGATAAAGTAATCCTATGAGACGTGAACAAAAACATTGTACTTAATTAATCTTCTACATTTGTTATGGCAAATGGAGTGACGGGCCCAACTAATGGAAAGTTGCAACTATCGCCTATAAACATGAGCAGGCCTTTTTTAATGGAATTACATTTTTAACTAGAATTACAAACAACCTGATGGTATGTGGCATCATATTTCAGGTAACAACCATAATACTCGTGCGTTACCATTCCAGAGGATCAAAATGTCATGCCTCTATATTAATTACCATATCTTACCATCCAAATGAAATACATGTTCCATAACAATCTGATTGCCAGACGAAATGGGTAAGACAGATATACCTTCGCAAATAACTTTGTTCAAAGTTTTGTTGAAATTAATTGAAATAGGTCGGCAACCATGATTGTAATATTTTATTCCTGACTACAACTTGAAATATATAATACATTTAACTTTAATGAATGTGTACATAGATAAATTATATTATATTTACAATTTTGTGGTCTTACATATAAATTATTGCTCTTCTATAGCCATTAGAACAGTTTAGTAATTAAAATTACCATCCAAATAATTACACTCATAGCCGACACCATATGTGCACGGGTAGTTATTAGTAACGTAGCTATGTGTAGTTGGAATTTATATTAATATCTACAAATTCAACCATAGTTGGTCCATTAATATTCAGAGTTAATGAAGCTGCTTGACAGTGTACGCTTTATTAAGTAATATCTGATATATAACTAGTAGATACCCGCGACTTTATCTTTCTGGTTTAATTTTAAATAGCTAATGTGTCTTGACGTCAATTTTCTTTAAAAACTTTTCAGTCTTTTAGTCAAGAAAAGATAAGAGACAGATACACTTTCGAATTTAAATATCAATAAATATTAATAGTAAGTATATATATAGGTAATTATCATTGTAGATAAAAATAATATACAGATTTAGCGAATGTATTACATAATATAATCAAGATTACAATCTAATTGAGAACGTTCTAGTTTATGGGTCTACCAAATTTCCACTTCCCATCAGGCTTGCTTTTGCTTATTGGCTTTCCCAGTCAGATGAAAAAAGCTTCCTACTGAGTAATTTCAGCTGAACACATTTATTTCATAAATTTATTTATACTATATTCTTTTATGCCACCCTAATACCCACTCAGAAATACATAAGTAGGTATAACGCCTATTGTAGGTTTATGGACGTGAGGAAAAATTAAATACAATATTTTTTTAATCCAGAACAATTCTCACAGCGCCGTCTACTCCCAAGCTAAGCTTATATATAGATACTAGACGAGTGATTGAAATACTTAAATACGTTTTTTTTAAATAAATGCACATTATACATTGAAAACACCCAGACCAAAGATACCAAAAATCATACACAGGAATGTTTGAACAAATGTTTACACCATACGAGGTATCAAACCTGTGATCATTGGAACTACAGCGGTGTGCTAGACCGTATAATTAATTAATCAATTATCAGTTAACATATAAATTCATACAACAGACGTATGGTACGTCTTGATGAGTTTGGAAAATAGATTCAATAGAAAAACTGGCAAGAAGTTCTACTGTTCTACTGAATTAAATAAATTAAGAAGGATATGCTCTCAACATCAACTACCTATTTTATGGAAGAAAATTCATGGGAGTGTTTTAATTTATTCTTTCTGTACTGATCTTTGAGGTTATAAGGTTGTAGGTTATATTCGGTAGCACTTTGCCGTTGAAAGGACGCCTTTTAGCTCTGCACACTTTTGTACTCAGAGCTAATGCCCATACATAAACCATGAGGGACTGGTCAATACTCGGGGTGAATCACTTTTCTACACATGTACCCGTAACTTTACCTACGTATACCATTAAATGTATAATTGTGATTCTAACGGATCGGCGGACTGCATGGGTCTAAATGATGAATACACGTAGGTTTGGATATTAAAATATATTATTATAATGTAGCTGCGTACTAGTAAGATAATAATTGAAATGTATGAAATAACCTGACATATACAAAGAACTGTTCTAAAAATATAAATTTAAAAATATCAAAAGAGTTAGTGGCGGAAGGTCGCCAATTGTATTGATTAAATAATTGAATTGTATTCATGGTGATTTCTGTATAAACGAGTATAATTCTTAATACAAAAAAAATATATTTACAAATTTAATATGTAAACAATACGAATAAATACAGCGATGACTTCGCGGAAGATACAATGACGTCACTGTATTAGAATTAAGAATTAAATCTTACAGCCATGGAGCCGTTGAACAACTAATTACTAACTAATTACTGCAGTAAATACTGAGTGTTTTCAGTAAACAAATATCAGTATCATTTCTTAAGTCCTCCCGTCACTGAGGTGTTAATTAATATTTACCACTGCCAGACCTTTCATTGACTACAATATATGTTTTAAGAGTGTAACAAGGTGCTAAACGGCTCATTCCAATACAATTCGAATCGAAATTAGTTTCCAGAGTAGACCGGCACTTCAACTACAAACTCAGGTCAGATTCAGTCAGAATCCCTAGTCAATTGATTTTACACAATTAGGTGGATATCATCATTTACTATTTATATTATTTTTATTAACAGTATTTACACAAAGTAAATGCAAGTGAAGTTACAAGAGGCATTGACACATTTCGCCGAGTGTATTTCACTCCAACGTAGCAG